TACTACTGCTACTACTGCTATTACTATTATTATTATTGCTAATACTAGAATTAGCTTTACTGCTTTTACTACGAATACATTTACTGTTACTTTATTTGTATTTCTGCTACTTGTCTATGTGATCTAATGTTATTAATAAGAAATGATAAGTCATAGATATGATAGTAAAACAAACTATTATGTTTACTACTACTACTACTACTACTACTACTACTAGTACTGGTACTCGTACTGTCATTATTACTATTACCATTGCTATTTCTATCATCATTATTACTACTGTTACTGTTGCGAATACGAGTACGATTGCGACCACAACTACTGTTGCTGCTATTTTTGCTCTTACTGTTATTGTTACTACTACTGTTTTTCCGATATTACTATTTCTATTGCTAGTTAGTATTGTTGCTATGACGACTACTAGTACTGTTGACATGTCGCTTGCCATCAGCATGACTCTTACAATTACCATTACAATTACCGTTACGCTTAGTCTTGTAAGTCTTGTAATTGCCTTCACTGTTTCAAGTGCTACGGAGCTTGCTATGACTGTTACTATCGCTGTGGCGAGTACTTGTATTTATAGCCATATTTCGCTTCTGACCATATTATCTCTCGCTGAGAGGCCCTGCTATCTGAGCTGAGCCACCAGCAACGAGAGGTGGGGAGGGGTCGAGCTTTCTGCGATGTGCGTGCGAAGGCGAGTTGGATTTAGGGTTCACGGTTTTGCGAAATCCATCACGCGGACTTGCAGCTGATGGAGTCAGCATTGGTAGGGCATATGTTCAAGTAGAGCAGGGTTGTCGTCAGGATCCCGCAGCTGGGTTGATGCGGAGGCAGTAAGGGAATGTTCTGGGAACTTATTCGTTCAAAGTTTAGCATCTGAACGCCAAGGAGAGCTCCGAAGTTAGACTCGCAGGTGGTGTTAAGATGCTTGAACATGCTGGTAAGAGCAAAAAGAGCTCTACCATGTCCAGACGAACGAAGTGCGACATGCCAGTAGAGGAGGAGAAAAAGGAGGAGGAGTAAATGGTACAACTAGTAACTAGTACTAGTATTAGAAGACGTAGTAGTAGTAGTAGTAGTAGTAGTAGTCATCGTCGTCGTAGTAGCAGTAGCAG